ATGGCTTTGGGTATATTACAGTAAGATCCCCGTATACCCCATATTTCATCTACTTAAGGGGGACTAGAACCCCAATACATAACCTAGTATAATATAGTAGCTTCCATTTTCTTTTCCATTCTCTCTATATAACCCCTATATAACCCCTTTAATGGTACCCCTTGTACATAAGCCTGGGAGCCAGGCGGAGGGTTGCAAAGGCTTGAAGAACCGTCGCCAAGTCCTCAAGCTACACAGGCTGTCAGGATTTCAGGTTTGGGGATTAGGGTGTAGAGATCTTCTTACGGATGAGGTGGCGTCTGGTTCGAAGGGATGGCTTTTACGTTCTCGGACTGGCGATCAGAATTGTTCAATGGCAGTTCCTCTGACTAGATTGCTGAGTGACTTTATCCACCCGAGTAGTGGGTACATAGGTCCGAGTATACTATTACACTATAATATACTATAAGAAACTATAATATATTACAGTATACTATAATATACTATACTGTTTATGATATAACATAATATAAGGGTGGTTGGAGGGGATCGGCTTTTGTCATCTTGCACAACCTTAGAGGTCCTTGCGCTGGGGGTGGGGCTTAAGTTTGGGGATCCGGTTTACATGCAGCGTCTGAGCGCTTGTTGGTTCAGGGCAGAGTCAGACGGACTCCAGAAAGTTGCCAACAACTTTTCTAGCACCAGATGGGAAAATCCGTCCCCAGAGTATAGTTCCCCTTAAGTAGATGGAACACGGGGCATATGGGGATCTTATTATAGGATACCCAAAGCCATATTCTATCTACTTAAGGGGGACTATAACCCCAATATATACCCTTTCTACAATATAGTAGTTTCCATTTTCTTTCCCATTATCCCTATATAGCCCCCATATAACCCTAATATTCTATCTACTGAAGGGGGACTATATACCCTAAACCCTAGACCCTAAACCCTAAATAGTAGTTTCCATTTTCTTTTCCATTATCCCAATATAACCCCTATATGATCCGGTGCAATCTCCTCCAGTTCGAAGGGACTCTGGTCGTCTGCCAAGCTTCTCTGCGTCAGCCTGCATGGTTCGAGGAGCAAGGCCTTGGGTTCGGGCTAATGTTTGAGGATACCTATATATATATATTATGTATATATGGTCGTTTCCATCTTATTTTCCATTATCCCCTATATAACCCCCTATATAACCCTAGAGCATAGATGATGGAAGTTCCTTGTCGTAATGCTGAGACCCTACTGCACCAGCTACCTCATCCCAAAGTCTTTGGAGCGAATCCTTCCGAGGGCATGGCAGGAATGCACTATTTCCACCCCCTCCCTCTGATTACGGTTACATGGGAATAATGGAAAACAAAATGGAAACTACTATAGCCATTTTGAGGGTTATAAGGATTTGGGCCCGCCTGACGAGGCCTTTGTCATACTGCAGGACTCGCGCATGCGAGTACAGCAACGAGGAGAGATGCGAAGGCGTTAGCTCCTGAGAGGTGGCTCCTCCTACGTGGGGCGGATGGTTGTTTTGAGGTGGGTTACATGGGGATAATGGCAAAGAACATGGATACGACTATAATGGGTTATATAGGGTATAGAATATGGGGTACAGTGGCTTTGGGTTTGGGGTTAGGATGCAGGGCCTTCGACCTCTGGTCTAATGTGTTGGGTACCGCTCCTTACTCCTTGAGACCTAGCAGGAGCAGCAGGCATTATAACGCGATGACAGTTCAAAGTACTGGTCTGACAAGCGCTTTCGGGAGCCGTGCTTTTCAGACAAAACATTTGTATCGGCAGCAGCATGATGCGACATTTGTGATAGGACAGCCTTCGCGATTTAACTCGTGTCATGCACTGTTGCGACCCCAATAGTTCAGAAGATGATCCCATCAACAAATTTTCAACCTCACGATACGCCGCGCAGCACCAAGATCCCCACAATCCTAGGCGAATCCTGCAAGGCATGACACACGGCCGAGCTTCGTCTTTTCGATCCGGATGAAGCAAACGCCGCGTCACAACCTGTCTTGACAAATTCAACGTTCGACACTGTTCTCGCATAGCGGGGAAGAAAGCACTTTCCAAGATTTGTAGCAGACTGCAGAAACACAGGAAGCAAAAGCTGTGTGGGCTAAGCCCGCCACCGAAAACAGGGAGGCATCGCGTGAGCGCAGCTGTGCGAAGGTGTGCAGGCAAACGCCTCAGCTGCACGCTGCGATTTTCGATTTACGTATCGCTTCGGGGTGCTGTCAGGTAACCCAGGGATACATGAGGAGTATTGGCCATTTAACGAATGCCTTTCGAGGACTGTATGACAGTTGCTTGGAAGCTCGCACTTGCGCACACCAAAGGTCCACCTAAGCAAAAGATGGTAGTTTTCCTGCAAACCAGGGGGCGCCGTCGCGCGACTTTTTTTGAAAGGAAGTCTCAGCTGGAGGAAGCAAGCCCTGGGGGACCTTATAGAAAGTGGGTTCTAGGGGCCAAAGAACCCCGATACCCTTGACTCGAGCCGGGGCTTCGGCGAACAAGGCTCCTGCAAGATCCATATAAAGTCCCTTGGAGGCACACACCCCTAAACCCTAAACCCTTAAACCCTAAACCCTAAACCCTAAACCCCTAAACCCCTAACCCCTAAACCCTAAACCCCAAACCCTCCCTAGCTCAATTTCCCGTGGCTCTTGAAATCCAGGCACAAAGAGCAGATGCGTCGAACTGAGGCAGCTTGTCAGGAATGTCCTGCCACTGAGTTGGGGGGGAGACCTTGCTACCCCCTCTTTTATTTAAGGCCTCAGTACACATATAGCAATTTCCATTTCATTTTCGATTATACCTATATAACCCCAATAAACTATGTAGTAGTTTCCATGTTCAATTTTGCCTTTGTAGCCTCTTGTTATGCTAGGCTCTCGGGGAAGCCCAAGCCCAAGCTGGAAGGAAAAAAAGACACAGACGCACACGAAAAGCCCATGTCATCCCCACACAGTAAACCCCGTACTTCAGGCCTTAAAACCTGAAGGCGGACACCCCTGGGCTGCTTGACCCTCGCAACATCTGAGAATGTTGACAAGCTAAAAGTTTAAGGTTTGGGAATTCCAGGCGATACCTTCCTCTGGGGCTACCTCTCGCACGATCAATGTGTTAGGCGGATCAGGTTTGCAGTTCGGAACAGCAAATTGTCGGCCCAAGTAATGAAACCAGCCTTGGGACCGAGCATAACAAGAGGATATATAGGGGTAATGGAAAATATCATGGAAACTAAAATATCGTATATTGGGTTATATCGGGATAATGGAAGATCAAATGAAAACTACTACATAGTATATTCGGGTTATATGACAATCCCTTTCAGCATGCGGAATCAGCCCTGCAAGCAATACCTTGTCACATTGTCGTATTTGATTTGGCACGCTTTCCAGCTCTTCATGTATACAAGGCTTCTACATGATGATCCCCAACAATTTATGCTACATACATCTATACATGTACACACATATTTATGCATTTATTTACATCTGAATTCCTAAGAAAAACTACATCTACTCACCAAAAATTAGCTGATAAACAACCTGCTTCATGTAGGCTCTTGCCGAAACACGATGAGGAGCAGCCCCCATATGCAAAGTTCCTAATAGGGGCCTAAATAATTACCAATACAATTTTGAGGTCTATTTGAGGTACCCTATATGATGTTTATATGAGGAATATGGAACCATGATATTGGTAATTATTTAGGCCCCTACAGGAGGCCCTTCACTCCGCAAGATACGCTCAGCCCTCTTGGATATGGGGTATAGAGGACCTAGGGCTGTAAGGGTTACATGTGGATATACAATCCCCCTTACTGTAAGTAGATGGGTATATTATAACAAGATCCCACTATACCCCATATTCTATCTACTTCAGGGGGACTATAGGGGTATAAAGGGTTCTAATTAGTCTCTGACAATTTTCGCGAGTCCTTTGCCAGCTTGGCCAGCAGCCTCTTTGGTCGTCTCTGCGCCATGGCGCAGGCATGCAAGACCTGGCGACAAGAGTACGAATACGATACCCCAAAATACTATAGTTATATTATTACTAGTAGTTGTATTACTATTAATTATTCATGAGAGCTGAGAAAGGTGCCCCTAATTTTGGGAGTAAAGGTCAAGAGCTTTAAGAGTCAGGGTTGAAGGTTTTGGGCTTAAGAGTTTCATCTCTGTCTCCCTCACATGGTGGCGCCTCAGATTATCTCTGAACCTGCCACCCTGCCACCTCCCCCCCCCTCAGTAACAGTCTGTAATGAGGTTAATATTGGGGCGATATCTAGACATTATGACGCAGTATCTAACCGCTAGGGGGCAGTACCCAGTTAAGCGTCAAATACAATCCCCATGATGCTTACACACTTACTCCCTACGTAAATTCCCCCCACCTCCCGCATTAGAGAGGGAAAGTCTATGGAGTGACTCTTTGGGAGGCCAGTCCCTGCATATCCCTGTGTCCACTCCATATGTAAGCCCCTCAGAAAATGTTGATGCAGAAAATGATGCACCGCCTAGGGCCCTACGTTGCAGTAATTCATGAGACTCAAGGTGCTTAGGCAGGATTTCCTCTATTAACAACAGAAGTCCCTCTATCTCTCCACCAGTAGAAGCCCCTTCAAACTATACATCTCTCCCTCCATAAGCAGCCCTTCAAATTATACACCTGCCCTTTTAGAAGCCCCTGTTAAGGCACCAAGGGCCTGCACCATCTCCGTTCCTCTCCAGGCGCCGCAGCGCTGTAGCGCCTTCTCTTCGAAGTCCAGCCAGGCCTCACAGGATTTGGGGGTTTCCCAAAATTAGGGGTACCTTTTGGGGGTCCCTATAACAAGGACTATAGTATTTTGGGGTCTACATTGGGGTCCCCTTATTTTGGGAAACTACCATTTAGGGTTTTAGGCAAGGGGACATTGGAGTAAATAAGGGTTTTCGAGCTTGGGGTTGAGGCAGGGACTAAATAGGGGTGATCCAGGGATTCTATGGGGATTACATAGGGATTATGTCGGGATCGTATAGATATATGGATTCTGCATGGATGGTATGAGGACTGTAGAGAGATTAGGCTACGTTGCTAGGTAGATATGTGGACTAGGTAGCTGTACTACATCATAATTACATAAGGGTCATAAGGGGAACGGAAGAGTACATGGAACAGATAATGAAACACAAAATGGAAAGTGAGATGATGCACGGGTGTAGGGTTTTGGGACGAGGTCTCTATATTGCAGGTGGAAATAGCCTACGTAGGTATGTGACTACCCCAATAACGCAGAACCAAGATAACCAAGTGGGCAACAATACGAACACTGAAACAGAAACTGGGGCGATGTAGGGATTCGGGGTTTAGCCGCTATGTAGGTACCTTACGAATCACGAGCGTAATCGAGAATGGTAATCCCCTGCTCGTACCCTGGGTTTCTCCCAGCTAGAACGTCTTAGAACTGAGGTGTGTAGGTTGGAAGCCTGAAGGATGAGGAATAGGGGATTCAGGACTTAAGGTAGAGAGATCAGTTCAGGATTTAGGATTGAGGGCTTAAAACTATGGGCTTGGGGTTAAAAGCTTAAGTTTGGGGATTTGCGACATGTGATTCGGGAGCTCGGATTTAGGAATCTGAGTTAAGTCAGCATACTGTCCACACCCTGTAAAGGTCACATGTTGGACCCTTATGAAAGGCGACAGTTATTACACGATTTGCGGCTAGGGGCAACTTCCCTCCTGTCCAGAGTGTACCTTTGAGCAGATGCAATGGCAGGCAGTACTAAGAGATGTTCAGGGTCCTGCTTTCAGAATTGAAGAAGAATTGGTTTGAGAAACTTGGGGACTACCTTAGCGGAAGCGCAGTCACATCTCTGCCTTTGAACACTAGTCACCAGGAAACCACGTAATGCAAAATAACACTCCATAGGAACCACTTCAAAATCTTCTTTCCGCATATAGGAAAATTGCTCGGAAAATGTATCGATGCTCTCTTCTACCAACCGCGCCTCGTCATCACCCTCGTCCCGGGCCTTCAAACATGGCGAGTCAGCCAGAAATTCACTTCATTGGGGTTTCGGAAAAGGTGGGGTCTCTTTTTAGGGATCCCTACCATGAAGATTGTTGGGTATCCCCCAAATCGGGTTTCCGATCCGTTTATGACAGTCCTTCAGAGTACAAGGATGGCACATCTGGGAATGTACACATGGATCCCTTTGGTAGAAAGTACTATACTACAAATTATCGAACTCAAGCACTGCAGCAGTCTTGGATTCTACCCAACCGGACATCCGGAAACCCCACATGAAGAACAGTGCTAGGTGTGTAGATCTGGTAAAGTAGTTTCCGAAATAGGGGGATGTCAATACAGACCCCCAAATTTTTCCAACCCTTATTAGCATAGTGACCCCCCAACAGAAGGACCCCTTGGGGGCATGCATCAACCATCATTGGCCTCATTGGATCTAGGGTTTAGGGTTGGAGTTAACTCATATAGCCCCACTATCCTAAACCCTAAACCTGCGGGGTACTCACCTGGCAAAACTGTTCCTGACACTATCCGCGTCGCAGCACCTCTCATCTTGCTTAGAGTGATAGCTCAACCTTGAAACGTTAAAGGGGTTGACTATAGTCCCCTTTAGTAGGTAGAATATGGGGTGTAAGGTTTAGGGTTAGTCCCCCTTAAGTAGATAGAATATCATATAGGGATTATATTGGGAAAATGGAAAAGAAAATGGAAACTATCATATAGGGTTTAGGGTTGTAGTCCCCCGTAAGTAGATAGAATATGGGGTATATGGGCATCTTATTACTATATAGGTCCACTGCATATTCTATCTACTTAGGGGGGACTATAACCCTAAACCCGAAACCCTACGTAAGTCGTAGTTTCCATTTTCTTTTCCATTATCCCAATATAATCCCTACATAATATTCTATCTACTTAAGGGGGACTAACCCTAAACCTTACACCCCATATTCTATCTACTTAGGGGGGACTATAACCCTAAACCCGAAACCCTAAATCGTAGTTTCCATGTTTTCCATTATCCCAATATAATCCCTACACAATATTCTATCTACTTAAGGGGGACTAACCCTAAACCTTACATATAGTGGTTTCCATTTTCTTTTCCACTATCCCTATATAACCCCAATATAACCCTAGTATTCTATCTACTTAAGGGGGACTATAACCAGAGGTGAAGCAAATGCTGGAGAGCCTCTCCAGCCGCCAACTCCCTTGCTCGGGCAGGCAGGTCTACGTCTGGACTCCTTGCTGTGGGGGTTTAGGGCTTAGGGTTTGGGGTGTAGGCTTTAGGGTTTGGGGTTTAGGGTTTAGGCTTAGGGTTTAGGGTTTGGGGCTCATGGGGCTTGGGGTTTAGGGGATGAGGAGTACTGTATGGCAGTGAGGGGGTTGCAAGTATAGTGACTGGTTAGGGGGTTATTGGTTTATCAGGTTTAGGGTTCAGGGCTTTTAGGCTTCTAGAGGGACAGGCTCCTCTTCCGTAATCACCATCCGCAGCCCAAAATATAGTAGTTTCCATTTTATTTTCCATTATCCCTATATAACACCAATATTTACCCTAATCCATCCACGATAACCCGCCTCCTTCTTATTGCAAACCCACAAGAAACCCTGCTGTTGACAACCCCCCTTGCCATTGACTCTGCTTGAAGCTCATGGAGTCTCAACGGGCTTAGGATCTTGGCATATCATTGGTGATTACTCAGGCTACTGTGCGACTCCGTGCTACTGCTTTCATGTTTGCCTGCCTCTCGGCCGTCCGCGTCATGGGCCCCAAGCCGTAAACAAAGGAACGGCAAGACCTGCAAATGCTTTGCAGCTGCTCTGCAAACCGTGAGCCCGAATCACTACGATACTATACGAGTTATGTCAAGATTTACGACTTGACCTCACTTATGCTTCGCCAAAAGCTTGCGAATATGCCTTTGGCACAAAATCTGGTTCATAAGCCACGCGTCCTTTCTGCAGTCAGTTCTAAAGGAGATGAAATATCTTGCCAGGAAATATCTTGCCAGGAAGCCTTCGCATGTCGCAGCATTATCAAACACTCTGTGCCTGGGACTGCATGTGGAATTTAGCCTCACCCCGCCAGCAATACAAGAGAGATAGCTCAGTGTGACTGTACGAGCTTGATACCGTACCAGTTGCACCCCCCCAACTCTGCATGCGTAGCACTGTTGCACTTATAACCCAATCTGTCAATGGCTTTCTACTTGATTTCCTGTATTTCCTGAACAGAATCCCAAGGAAGCTTAACCTGCCAGCGCCAGGAAGCCCTTCACTCTTGAGGGTGTCCCTCTCCAGTCAGAAATGATCGAAACTGCCTAATCCACTCCCCCTAATATTAAACCCCCCCACCCCCCTAATACTACATACTCCCATTGTGGTACATTGTAATGTATTGGGAATATTTAACATTAGGGGTGGGTGGGGGGCTTAATATCAGCCCTAAACCCTCAAACCCTAATAATAACCCTATACACCCCTTTAAAAGGCGGGGGGGTTTGACGTTAGGGGGAGGGGATTAGGCTCATAGACTGGAGACACTTCCCTAGGTTCCCTGCCTGTCCCATCTGTGAGGTACAGGAAAGAACCACTGGTGACCGACAAAGGCCTGTTCGAGGGAATACTGGGTCCTTGAGGTGGGATGTTTCAAAGGGGTAGGTAACCTAGTAATCCCCCATAAACCTTCCCTAGTACTCCCCAAGGATCCCAAAACCCTGAACCCTAAACCCTACACCCTGAACCCTGAACCACCCGCCCATTCAGGATCTGGTAGAAGGAAGGAGTTCGGCCTAACAGCCTGCCGATTAAGACTGAAAATGTATCCTATGGGGGTTTGTCAAAATTATGGGCCCTCTTTGCGCTTCCTTCTAATACGATTTAACATCTAGATGGACCACAGCACGGGTTTTGGTGCCCGGCAAAGGCTTCTGCTATAGAACGTCCTAAGCCCAATACGCAATCCCTGTACCTTTTCGAGTCTCCACTAACTGAATCATAGATAGGGGTCTCCGCGTTCTACACCACAAAAAACTCTCCGTCGCATTGGGGCCCCAACAAGAGACCCTTATTCCTGGAAACCCTAAACCTTCACCCCTATACCCAACCTGTCCCTACAGAACCTCTATATATTCTCCATAGAACTCCTTCATAGCTAATGAGCATATGAATAGTAATCAGAGGAATACTCTTCACATCCCCAACCAATCTAAACCCTACACCCTACATATCCCCATATAACCCCTATAAACCCTAAGCCCTTCATATATCCCCTATATGACCCCCTAGAAGCCCTAAACCCTTGTCCCCTCCAGCCTGAAAACTGCCCCATGGCAAGCGCAAGGCTCGCGCCATGGTTTGGCTCCACAATTCTAGGAGTCCCTGGTTAGGGTATTACTAAGGGGGTTTGTTATTTGGAAGATTATATAGAGTTCCGGGGTCAGGGTTTAGGGTAGGAGTACTTGGTTAGAGGGCTACATAGGGTTGCATGAGCTACAGTCTAGACTCCGTGAAGGGGGTTATGTAGGGTTTAGGATCTAGGGGTTAATGTCTAAACTCTTTAAAGGGGGCTCTACAGGGGATTTTGTAGGGGACTATTATAGGGCTTATGAAGGGGGATACTAGGAGGCAAAGGGCACCGCGGAGAGGTCTTGAGCTATGCTGACAGCGGGCATTAGTTGGGTCAGAGCTCTGGCGAGCAGAAGTAGAGGGTGTGTCTTCGCATGCGGTTTGCTGATGCTGGATCTTGAGCAACTCCTCCACGGCCTTACACTCTGCGCAATAATCCGTACACCAGTTGTACTCGGTTTTGACTCAGCACTTGCGGCATGTGACGGCAAGGTCCATCCACCACTTCTCAGCCTTGTCGCTGAGAAAATCGAGGTGGTCGTACAAATTGCCGCATGTCTGCTTTGCATTGAAAATTCTGCTCTTCTTCAGCTTTTTTACAGCCGAGAGCCATTCGGCTTCTGCGAATGCGATCCTGCCACGAGGCTCTGAATGCTCGAACTGCTTTCGAGCAAAGGCGACGGCTTCGTGGAAAAAAAAAAGTTGAGAAACCACCATGGTTCAACCCACTTGCCGCTAAAGTGAAACATCTTAACATTGCGTAGAACCTCATCCTCGTTTTTTCCCAGCTACAGCTAATCCTGAGGCATTTCCTGCTGAGCAGTCCTCAGACCACGACCATGCGTGTCCATGTACTGGAACAGATTGACCTCGCAAATCCAGCTCACTGTGACGTGCCTCCATCCTGGGGTTTTGTTGACCAGGTCATACTGCTCGGGCACATTACTTTTGTCACGTTCATCTATCTGTTCTACCTCAGCCAGCATCTCTTCCACAAGCGATTTCTTTCTTTCAATGTATTTAGAGGGTTCAAGCGCATCAGCCCGGCGTTGATGCAGCTGCGGCTGGATTTTTCGTGGAACGCATCCGACGGAATTTCCCCACCGATGGTACATGCCCGAAGGCGCGTGCACCTGGAAGAGCTCCCTGGGACTGGGGCGGATAACAGTTTCCAAGTCAAAGAAGATGATCTTTCGAAAGGGCACCTGGAATGCGCGCAGCTCCGTAAACACATATCAATGTCGCTTGAACCGCGTTCTGTCTGCCGCCTCCTGGTCGACAATGCCAAAAGGCATCCGGCATTGGGGATCCTCTTGTACATGCAAGGCGAGATTTGGTCCAAGAGCAGTACTCGCGGTGTGCTTTCAAATTGTGCGAGACGCTGCCCAAGAACAGTGCATAGATCAGAAACTCTGACTTGAAGCCATGGAGCAAAGCGACATACGCATGCTCACCGAGAAGGCCTGGGTACTCTAGCATATGCATGGCTGGCACAGGGCTCTCATTCATTCCCCCCCAAAATAAAGGCGTCGCCGCTCATCAGCTTCGTTCCAGCATTTGTGATGCCAGCCAGCGTCCCGGTCTCAGGGATGCAGATTGTGCAAGGCAACATTGCTGTGGCTTGCTGGCAATTCTGTAGTCTCCTTAGACCCACAATAAAAATAATACTCCTAATATTTCCTTAGGGTTATACTATAAAAAATTAGAATAATTCCTAAGGACAGTACAGAATCAATATGCCCAGAACGGAAGGACCTTGGCTTTGACTGCAGCTGAAGCCCCTTGATGAAAGCCTACCTGTAATCAGGCACAATCTGAGATGTTGAAACCATACCAAGGTGCAGAGTCACAGGGTTATATTCGGGTTAAATACCACTATTATAACATAGTAGTTTTCATTATATTGTCCATTATCCCAACATAACCCTAATATAACCTACCACTATTATAACATAGTAGTTTCAATCTTGTTTTCCATTATCCCAACATAACCCTCATATAACCTACCACTATTATAACACAGTAGTTTCCATTTTATTTCCATTATCCCACTATAACCCTCATATAACCTACCACTATTATAACATAGCAGTTTCCATTTTATTTTCCCTTATCCCAACATAACCCTGATATAGCCTACCACTATTACTATTATAACATAGTAGTTCCCATTTTATCTTCAGCCCCCTAAACCCTAAACCCTAAACCGCATTCTTCTTATGGTGTCCATGAAAGCCAGCCATGAAAGTGAAATCGAAAGCAAGGCAGAAGCTCAGTGTGTCTTAAAAGCCTGAACCCTGTAAACAAGAATGGGGTTATAGTGGGGGTTATATTGGGATAATAGAAAAGAAAATGGAAACTACTATATGGGTTGTATAGGGGGTTATATATGGGTTATATTGGGGTTATATTGGGATAATGGAAAATAAAATGGAAACTACTATGATAGTGGTATATAACCCCAATATAACCCAAAACCCTTGGGTCTTGCAGTTCATCACCCCAGTAGGCTTTTTCACAAACAGAGCCCAAGCCGTTGAGCCCCAGAGTCTACAAGACTATAGGGTTTTAGGTTATATTGGGGTTATATACCACCTTTATAGTATAGCAGTTTCCATTTCATTTTCCATTATCCCAAAATAACCCATACATAACCCAATCCATGAACTGTGGGTCGAAGCAGGTGGAGAGCGTTCTGAATTCTAGCTCAGACACTAATCCATAGTATCAAAGCAGATGGTTCCGGCTGCCGAGTCCTGGGAAACGTGGGTGCTTACAAGGAGTTCCCCCAATGCACTCCCATGAAGACACCCTCGTACAGGCTTCTAGTGCGCAGGTGGCCGAACTCCGTAACCATCTTCAATCCTGACATAGTTGCTACCTGATCCATGCATGATCTCGGCTAGTGGCACACAACCACACACCCTGCTGGGAGTTTGTCAAAGCACCTCTCAAGCCCTCAAGATGTACCCCAACCTTAGTTCTTCCCTTCATTAAACAATCCTTACTCTGAATACAACAATCCTAAACCCGAAACCCTAACTCCCGCCTTTACATCCAACTGCCGCGGCAAGATCTCCAGGATACGCTGCGCATTGTAGGGCACCGCGATGAGCTTGCCATTCGCTGCGCCTCAAATTGAGGAGATGGCACCGTTGGCGGCTGCCTTTATGAAGTTTGGAAATTGTATTCAGTTTAAACTGACAAGAGGCCGAGATCCTTCATGGAATTCTTAGGGATCCCTATCTCAATTAGCTGCATGGTGCGTCAATTTCATCTCTCTATTTTTTTTCAGAACAATAGTTGGCGCAGGGCTTCCAGAAAAGCTGACCAAATAGATCGCGCACTAGATGTTCTGCCAACCCTCACATCTCCTGAGTAGCTGCCAGGCTTTTATTACGGGTCCTAGCAAGACCCGCCCATGCCGGTATCAGTAACATCCTTGTCGGTCTAAGAAGAAGCTGAAAAAACATGATGTGAAAAGACCGCTAGAATTCAGCGTTTCATCCACGGCATGGGGCAGACATTCCTCATACAACTTTGAGGCATAGTCGTGCTGTCATAACTGCCCCTGAAACCAGCTGAGGGCGGTGCGGACAATGGCTTGGTACTTGTCTCCACCTCGCTGTCAGGGAGCATCTATCAAACCGGCCTGCCACCATCACATCACGATTATTAGCATCCAGGTAATTGCTGGCATTAACGTGAACCGACACTTAATGAATGGGACTACACTTCTGATTTCCGCCTGGCCCAGGAATCTGCATTCTTGCTATGTCCAAGTACGAAAAGCATCTCGACAAAAACTTACTGGATTTGTCCCCCCCCCTCAAGAGTTCGTTGAACAACAATATTGGTTTTCCAAGGGCCAAAAAAAACAACAAGGTTAGACCGTGCAGAATCTCTGCTTATCCTTGTATTCTTCTTACGATCATCACCACGAACGGTCGCCTTGAGACCTAGTCTGAAACGTGGCTTCTTATTGGCAACAACGTACAGTTCTGTAAGAAGATTGGCGTTTGGGATTCTTTGGTGGATATTCGCAGTACTGTACTACAAAATCCAGCAGACAAGCCCAAACTCTAAACCCTAAACCCTAACTATCAGTCCTTAGCCCTGACCTAGGTAGCTATATTACGCAACACAAGCGCTTTCCACAGTAATCACGTCATACAAATACCCAATACCTCCCACCATAAATAGTCAGTATGTCTCCTACTTGTAATATCTTTATAGGCCTCTTATAGGGAATATCTAGTATTAGAGGGCGGCAGCTATGTAGTATTAGTATGAAAGGATATTTAATAAAGATAGAATAAGTGAGACCTATTAGCTGTTCCCTGATTATAACTTGAGTTTTCCATACCTGGCGCAACTAATCCCCTCCCCACATTATGGCACATCTCTACCTGTCTAGTATGAATTGTTCTTAGTATACCAAAGTAGGAATACTTCATATCGAGTAGCTGAGGATTCTGATTTTAGGGGCAGGTTGAGAAGCCCTCAACCCTAAACCCAAAACCCACAACCCTATACCCTAAACCCAAGACCCTGAACCCGCTTCCGCTGAGGGCCCCACCATCATCCACCTCCGCCATGCCTTGAAATGCAGGCCCCACTTCTTTCGCGTGTGAAGCCCTGGGATCCTTGGCTTTACAGGGGTATAGGGGTTTGGGGTTCAGGGCTTAGGGTTTAGGTTTTAGGGCTTAGGGTTTAAGACTTAGGAACCCTAAACCCTAAACCCTAAGGTTTATGCATGCATCCTATGAGTTTAGGGTTTAGGGCTGAGGGTTTAGGGATCCGTGGCTCTTGAATGCTTTTTTACGGGAGTTCGATGGGGGCATATTCAGGATTAGGTAAGGTTCTGCTGCCGCAATTATGGGACCGTTTGGGGCTTTAGGGCTTATATTTTGGAATTATAGGGGTTATATACAGGGGATATTGCCCCAACAATGGAAAATCAAATGGAAAATGAACGGCGACACTGGGAATATGCGGGGGGGTTTGCAGAGTTTGCCTCCTTGGGGGTCCCTATAGTAAGGGTTGTAGTACGTTGGAGTTAATATGAGCCATTGTCTAAACTCCTAGTATCCCCCTTAATAACCCCCCTAGTAGTTCCTTATATAATCCCCTATATAACCCCCCTTTAAGAAGTTTAGACCATAGCTAATATGAGGACGCCTAGTTATGGAACCCCATTTCTGGGTCCGGCATTCAGTGCAGGCAGGGCTTATACAACGCCTTAGATCGGCTGGAAATAAGGGCTGGATAGGGGTTGCTGAAGCACAGGATTTTCCCGGGGTTGCTCCTCTGTGGCTCTTCCTGACTGCTCGTCTTATTGTGGCTTCCGGTACTGTGATTGCGTTGTCATATGTGTGATCCTTGAAGCAGTTTTGCCCGCGTCTTCATGTAGGTCCTTGCCGAAGGGCACGCTTCAAGATGTGGAAGAAGATTGTCCAGTATCTTTAGGTAGCTTTCATGACTGCTCGCTGAAAGCATCTTGGCATTATTACCGTGTCCAGAATGCCACGGTCTGTCTCAAAAAACGAAAGATACATGGAACACAATCCAGCGTCTATCTCCAGGACACGCTCCGCGCTACAGGGAGGAGCATAGATCAAGCCATTCTTGGCCATCACCGCTGCTGTATACCTCTTATGTTCACTCCCCAAAACGCCCAAGAACATTGATAAGCAATGTTCTCTAGCTCATGCTTATCAAGCACACTGGTACGATTTTAAGGTAAAGTTGCGTTGCATCCCTTGAAGGGTGTTAGGCGACCGATGGTAGTCAACCCCTCTAGTGGCTCACACTCCCAAAAAAGCTTCCGCAGGTGTTGCAATGAAGCTATGTACTGAGACCCTGCTACTACCCTCTACCCAGGGCTATGCACACAGAGTTCTGGACCCTATTACACCGATTAAGGTGGTGCTGGTAGGGCCTACGTATCCAAACCAAGCATGATGCAGTTGGGGAAGAGCGGAGGGCTCCCTTGACTTACTGATTGCTAGCTAGCGGGAATTGGAGGAATGCATCCCATCCCCGCCGTAGCCCCTATATAACCCCAATAATATAGTTCCCCCTAACAATTAAGGCTAAAGCTGTTTCTTCTCTTCCGTCCGTTGGTACCCTGGGTGTTGCTGATGATAACAGCCGACGATATGCTTGTTCTCGTTGCTGCGAGCTTAGGCTACTGATGCGATTGCTGCTGCCAGTCTACTGGTCGCATTACTGTCCTCATGTCCACTGCAACACCAGGGTTACTGGATATCCAAAAGCAGTATAGGTCACTGGCTGGTGTTGACATCTTGGATTAAGTAAACATCCAATATGTTTCTCGCAGGCGCTTTGGGAATGAGGGTGTCTTTGCGGTTAAAACTAAAGCCCCGCGCGTTTATGCAAGTTATCTTTGTGGGAAAGTGTGATCCATAGATTTTGACCATCACAACATCTTGCCTTGTTGATACAGGACATGCCCTATTTGGGGCATGTTACCTGGGCATGGGGTGGGTGGGTACTTGTATTGCCTTTTGAGGTCTGAAGACTAAACCCTAAATGGAGGTTCCCAAAGATGTGATCTCCCCTCTTGGGAGGGTGGGCTTCAAGATATAGTCCCCCTTAAGTAGATAGAATATGGCTTGGGGTATGTTATAGTAAAATCCCCCTATTACCCACATTCTATCTACTTAAGGGGGCCTCTACCTCAAACCCTTCCCTCGGACAGGGCTGCCTGCTGCCGCCTCCGGACAGCTCCTCTCCGATGTCGCGCGCAATGCCCGTGGATGGGTCGAACTCCAGCACGCCTGAAAGGGTACAGATATGGTAGTTTCCCAAAATAAGGGGACCCCAATATAGACCCCCAAATATAGTCCTTATTAATGGGACCCCTAAAATGGTACCCCTAATTTTGGGAAACCCTCATATAGTGCTCCATGTAAACGCCTCAATAAGTAGAATAGGATTTTGGGGCACGGGCACAGGCGTATGAAGGACAAATATTGGCAACTATTCAGGCTCTCACGCTTCCACATATCAGGGCTTCAGGGTTTGCACTTTTGGTATGCTGTTAGGTTCTGCCGCCTGCTTCCATGAGTTAGAGCAGGAGTCTGAGACCATTCCATGCTATAGTTTGGGTACAGCCCCCCCCCTCAGTAACAGTTGGATACTAATTTTAATATGGTTATATAGCCCTTAATAGGACCCCTAATAAAGACTGTTGCTGGGTGGGGGCAGTACCCAACCTAAACCCCAACCTAAGCCCTAAACCCTAAACCCCAAACCTTAAGTAGTAGTTTCCATTTTCTTTTCCATTCTCCCAATATAACCCCCAACATAACCCCAATATTGCTACAGGGTTTAGGCTTTATTACACATCCCAAAGGGACCCTTGTGGATGGATAGCGAAGATCTTCCAAATTGTCAAGCTGGAACACCAGTCAACTGCAGCAGCCTGGACCTCGCAAAGCCCTCAACCCTAAGCCTACCTGGATCCCCAAAGTATGTAGAATAATGGCCTTTTGGGCTATATTTAGGGGGTTTAGGCCATTATTTTACCTACTTTGGGGGTTTGGGTAGACCCTAAATCCTAAAACCTAGAGCCCTATAGGATCCTAAACCCTAAATCCTAAACCCTAAGCCCTATAGGACCCTAAACCCTAAGCCCTAGACCCTAAACGCTAAGCCGTAGACCCCAAACCCTAAGCCCTGGACTCTGAACCCGAAAACCTAAGCCGTAGACCCCAGACCCTAAACAGTGATCCAAAGAACGCCTGGGATCATGTTCTCTTGAGTTGAATTGCGGCTTTCGTGGGCATGAGGCGCTCTGGTGTTGCTCGAACTAGGGCAGGACCAGAAAATGGGCTCATACGGTATACTTCCACCAAGGAAAGCTGCAGAAAATCGAGCTGTAGAGCCCGAAATGCGGTGACAAAATGAAGTCAACAACTGGAGGAATGCTCAAATGACATTATACAGGAATTCTCTCAGCGTTTTGAGGCGCGTGGGCTGGCGCGTACTTTCATTCTTCCCCACACATGCTGAACGACTCTTGAGCCGTCTTCATCGCAGCTGTTTGCCATCAAGGCACGCGTTGCGTCGTAGGGGATGCCGTAGATCCTGTGCGTTTCCAAAAACATCAAATTCCGGGTTGAATGGGCTGAGGGCTTAGCAGGCTCCGGACTACGAGGACGCTACACTATGTGAATGGTGCAATGCGTATCAAAATGTATCTCACCTGGGCACATGGACAGGACCCAAGCCTGGGTGGTGCGAAGGCCAAGCATCAAAGTCGCATGCTACTCCTTTCCCGGCCCGGACTCGTGTCAAGTAACGGTGACCCTTAAACGCATCCTCTCAATCTCGCCAATACTTTGCAGACGTCAAGTAGCTCTCATAATATTACGCCCTACAACGGAATCTGATGAAACCTTCTGCAGCCCTGTAACAAATAGCCCATGTCCTCGTCTACAGAACCTCCATAAGGCTACACACCCTTGCAAACCCGATTCCATTGAGCCCTCAAAGTTACTGGTTCTTCGTAGGAAATAGGGAATCCAGTATGTATATATAGAGGGATTATATAGGTATATTATTCCCTATACTATATATTCTACTCAGAAGCAGTAAGGCAAAGAAACCTGAAACAGCCGCCTGCCAGTCTCTGCAACCGCAGCTGCTTGGAAGCGGAAGAGACCCCTCGGAAAGCTGGGCCCCACCTGCATTTTCCAATTCCTAGCCATTGGCGCGAGCGCCAGGAATAAAGTTAAATTCTTTGCTACGGGATTCCGAAAAGCAGAACCAGAAGGCGAATATGCCTTGAACCCAAAATGGGTTTAGGGCTTAGGGCTTTGGGTTTAAGGCTTAGAGTTTAGAGCTTAGGGCTTGGGGTTTAGGGCTTTGGGTTTACGGGTTTAGGGTTTAGGGCCCTACACAAAACACCGGAACCCTGTGACAAAGGAAGTGTCATCCTCAAATGCACGCTCTGCACCCTGAACTACACCCTGAGCCCGAAACCTTACATGCTGAAACCTATAGTCCCCCTTAGGTAGATAGAATATGGGGTATATGGGGATCTTGTTATAATATACCCAAAGCCATATTGTATCGACTCAAGGGGGACTATAGCCCTAGGACTCCATTTACCTAAACAATGGGTTCTGGTTCTAGATACCCTGTAGTTACATAGCCCAATAACCTAGTATCTAGATAACCGGGAGCCCTAGGGTAAACTTGAAATGCTGAACCCTACACCCCAAGCCCAAAAGGAGAGTCAGTGCTAAACCCTCAACTTAAAACTTGAATTTTGAACCGCTGAAGCCTGAAACTCTGGACCTACATGCCCGGAAACCCTAAACCCTAAACCCTGAAGTCCTAAATCCTTAACCCTGAGGTCCTAAACACTCAATCCTGCCATCTTGCAGCTAAAGCCTCAACCCAAAACCCTAAACCCGAAACCCTAAACTGGTTCGATGGTTTAGGGGTTTAGGGTTCAGGGGTTTAGGGTTTAGAGTTTAGGGTTAGGGATCATTTATACTGTTTTGGGGTATGGGATTCCTTACATTTATGTACGAAGGATCCTTTTTTCTCTTGGGTAATGTGGGGTAAAAAAAAAAAGTGGTGTACCTAGGCAACCACTGTGTCCAGGGTCTTGAGTCTGGACCGGATTCATTTGGGTTTGTGGGGCCTTCGGCGGATCCATGCGGGTATGCAAGGACAGCAAGATTAAGGGCCCTCGACGCCCAGAACCATTGTTCAGCCTTAGCATTTACCTGGTAGGAGGATGGTGTTTTTATCAAGGTTTCAGACCCAGAATAACATGATTTGAAACAATTCCCTGACTACACAATGAATGCTTGATTAGGCCCTTGAAACATGCGTCTGATAAACCGCTACTTTAACAAAAGTATAGGCAGACAGCAAAATACACCCGAAACGTGCCCCTTTCATAAATAGAGGGAACTCTATATATATATATAGACATATATACATATACAGCTATGCTTATACACACCTTTGCCCCTTCACCCATACTGGGGCACTTGAGCGTCCCCAAACCCTCAAAACCCTAAAAAAACCAAAGACTCTAAAGACCCTAAAGACCCTAAAAACCCTAAAGACCCTAAACACCCCAAAAGCCCTAAGAACCCTAAAAACCCTAAAGACGTTAAACACCGTAAAAACCCTAAAAACCCTAAAAACCCTAAACACCCTGAAAACCCCTAAAACCCTAAACCCCAATGAGGAATCTTCCTTTCTCCGGATTCTTGGGCAACCTCGGTATGGGCAAGAAGGTCTACACTTCAAGAGATAGATGCGGTTTATAGGATTATATAAGGGTTTTATAGAGGTATTCAGGGGGACATAGGGGTATGTAGGAAAGCCCTCAAAACTTGAAGCCCTCACCACCCTACATGGACCTCAAAAATAGGTACATACATCCAAAACCCCCAAATGAGCTGTAGTCCAAAAAACAAGTATACACCTTAATAACCCCTATAGTCGTCCCCTATATACTCCCCGATATAACCCTCTGTAAGGAGTTTAGATTTAGATCATGTCTCATATGACGCCAGAAAGGTTATGCTCTGCCCCGAGGCCACAAAATCCAAAACCATGTGAGCTATTGTCTAAACTCCTAGTATCCCCCTTAATAAGCCCTAGTAGTCCCCTATGGTAATCCCCTATATAACCCCCTTTAAGGAGTTTAGACTGTAGCTCATGTGGTGGCTCAAACCAAGGCAATAGACAGAGCCTCGCGTGCATCCCCTAAGAGCGGGTTGATCTCCAAAATACCTGGATGAAGGGCCAAAATCACGTAGAACGAATACGCTTAGAAGATTCAGACTACCCAAACCCCCAAAGTAGGTAAAATAATGGCCTAAACCCCCTAAATATAGCCCAAAAGGCCATTATTCTACATACTTTGGGGGTCCAGGTACTCAATCATGTCCGGTTTAGGGTCTAGGGGCCGAACAAATCGGGAACAAATCGGCATAAAGGAGAGGCAAATAAGAAACGACATGGAAGTTGAGTTCATGTAGAGGTTCCTAGGGGTTGTATGTCGCGTCCTAACTTTAAATGATTAGAATAGGGCTTTGGATTTGATTCTACCATACTATACACATGGAGGGTTCTAGGGAACAAGGTTGGCCATCATTTAGGCTTCTACGGCAAAAGACACCCAAAAACCCTAGACCCCAGACCCTAAACCCCCAAGACCTTCAAAGAACCGTTTATGAAGATCTTTGAGGGTTTGGGGAGTTGCCGAAACTTGGTGACTGGTTGGATCACGTTTGTGATTATTCCCCTATTCGGCTAATGGCATTCAAGGCTTTGGGTTTTGGAACCACATTGGAGGGCTGTTCTTGGGGGGTTGCCGCATTGAACATAACATCGTTGTAATATAGTATCATACATGGCCACAAGAATCCACAAGGAAAGTGGATCTTACCCCCCTACTACGAACCCTAGTACCTCCATGAAAAGGCCCCTCTTAGATCTAGAGTCGAGGCTGGGCCAACAGCAACTGTCAAAGATATTCTAAACAGCTAGAGCTCCGGAGCATACACCAAACTCTTCCAAGGGCCACACCTTTGTGATGCTTGAACTCTCCTGCATCCTCCGTTCAAGGATTCGTAGCATGAAACGTGAAGAAGAGGGATGTTACCCATACAGGCGTTTTCCGTTGAGGATCCCAGTGGGCGCCTCGGAATTGCACCAGGATTCCAGGAGTTCTAAACAAGCACGTCTGGGATGCACTAGTGCCCCCCAACCCTAATCCCTAAACCCTAAACCCTAAACCTCAACCCTACATTATCACCCTAAACCGTAAACCCACTGGAAAAAATGATTGCAGTAAAGCTACGCTCTGCATTGCAGGGGAGTGCGTAGATGTTGCCTCAGCTGGTCAGAGCATATGAGCTACAGTCTAGACTCCTTAATTAGGACTTAGGGTTTAGGGTTCATATAGGGATTATGTAATAATAGAAAAGAAACTGGAAACTACTATTTAGGGTTTAGGTTTAGGGGCTATATGAGCTATAGTCTAAACTCCTTAATGGGGGTTATGTAGGGGCTTATATTGAGGACTATTATAAGGAGTTAGGGCTTAGGGGTTAGGGTCTAGAATATGAGCTACAGTCAGTATTTCCTACATACAACTTAATGGACAGGGGATCCTGATAAGGGACGATATTCAGAAGTATACTAAACTTCAAAAAAGGGCCCTATGTTCACTTTTTAAAGGGTGCCTCAACAGGAACAAAGGGTCAAATGCCAAATCCAGGGGTTGGGATTGAGGATGCCGGGTTCAGGGTGCCAGAACCCACTTTAGGGTTTAGGGTTTAGGGTTTAGGGTTTAGGACAAATTCTGAGAAAGCAAGGAGTACTTAACCTTCGGCCTGACTGCTCCACCTTCATGGGCAAAAGCTCAAGTTCCCAAACCTTTTCTTTGCTCATGAGAGGGTGAAAGCACCCAAGGCAGAAAAAGCTGGCTTGGCCCTGAGAACTCCTTGAGAGATGATATATAGCATCCCATGAAATCAGTCCCGCAGGTCAACCCAGACAGCCGATTTGAATGAGTTAAGCCTACAATATCCCCACCAAACTTGAGCGCCAGAAGTTCCCTGAGAAAAAAGGACAGGAAGCTATCCTCCGGAACTTCAGTTCTGCCGGAAGCCACCATGGTCTTCCCAAAAACATGATTCCAGGTACTACAGGGGCCTAAACAATTACCAATATCATTTTGAGGTCCATTTGAGGTGAATGCGGACAA